GCTGCAGTGTCGCCACTTTAATATCACGCACACACACACACACACACACACACACACACACACACACACACACACACATAATCTCTCATTTTTTTCATTCTGATCCTAAATTAAAATCTGGAACAATTCAGCTCCTGTGGAATGTTAATATCTGTGAAGCAGCAGCACTGTCAGCTCAGGTATAGAATCCTGGCTCTTGTAGCTGTAAAACGAGCTGACGCGCGCGCGCACACACACACACACACACACACACACACACACACACACACTGACAGAGCGGCTATAGTGTACAGGATCAAATGTATAGCGCAAAGCCTGATGTCAGCTTTAGATCAGGTTTCAACCTGAGTCACTGCAAATGTTGCAACACCCCTGAGAGGACGCACCTGTGTTCGCTTTGTCAGAACATGACATTACTCCAATAAACACAGATTCCTCTTTTTTTTTTTGTCCTTCAATTTTGCATTCTCCCCAGCTCTTTTTACACAAGTATACATAATTATATATTCCAACGCTCCCAGATTGTTTTAAAATGACTCCAACTGGCACTGCATGTCTTACAATGGCAGTGCTTCATACATTGCCAAAAACCAGGATTGCATTCAATCCGCAGATCCAGTGGAATATGGCTGTCATCTTACAGTTTCTTTTTATAACGAACGGGAACAAAATGCAGTGGTGGAGGGAAATTGAGGGCAACGTACAGACGTTTCTGGCCCCGGGTTATGCGTGCGGTGGAGGAGAGCTCGTTGTGTCTCGTTGTGGTTAGTTAGCTATGTGGCGCAGGCAGAAAGTACAGCTGTTTATAGCTCCTGAAAACAGAGGCAAAATGCAGAGCTGGCCCTATTCGACTCCCCCGAAATCACGTAAAACACACACCCACACACACAGATAGGTCTGAGGGGAATTGGTGTGTGCATGTACACACGCACCACAAACAAAACCTGTTATTATGCCCATTCAGACACACACACACACACACGCTGTAATTACACACAGTGACGCACTGCTGCCCGCCATACCATGAATTCACACTTATAATATCGGCTCATAAATTAAACATGTCGAGACACAGAGGGTGATTACATATTACTGTTAAAAGGTTGGGATAAATATAGATGATGCACGTTTAAACACACACAGAAATGGGCAAACAGCACAGTAGCCTCTGCAGCTATGTCCTGGAGGTTGTTGTGTGTGTAGGGGACTTGTAAAAGGGGCCCCTGGGGTGGGCTCCGGTGCTGCCTTGGGGGCGGGGTGTGTGTTTATTTAAGCATGTGTTTTTTTTTGGGGTCACACTGAACTTAAGGAGGAAGGGGGGGTTAGCCTCAAGATAAGAAACGGGAGTTTAAGATGAAAGGAAAATGGGGCGAGGACGGGGATATACTGGCACGGAGTTTCTGGATCCAGAGGGAGGCGGAGGAGGAGGGACAGATGGGGGGGCTGGAGGAGCAGACTGTTTTGATGTTAGTTTTTAGGGTTGTTTATTTGACGTTACATAACCCCTTCACTTATGTAGCTAGAGCTCTTATACGTGTGTGTGAGTGTGTCGATGTATGTGTGTGTCTAGTAGGTTCTCACTTGGAGATGGGAATTTCTGTGAAAGGCAAGGGTTGCCCATAGCAACGGCCTTCATTGTAAAACCGATCCTTGGAATACAACACACACACACACACACACACATTCGCACCATGCTTGCACTGAAACGTCTTTTCAGTACTTTTCGGCACTTTCTGGGTTCCAGATCACGAGGCCCTCGCACACACATTTACACTGGTAGCGTGACACACACACACTCTCTCATCCTTCCGCTTTGTGAAGCTCATATCCTCGGTGTGTCGAGGCTCCAAACAACTTCAAGTCAATTTCATTTTCAGGAGGTACATATAGCGTTTCAGCTCCACCTCATACTGAGATGTGATGGACTAAGATGCTCGGGTTTCTAGATTCCATTATGCTTTTATTGGCTTTTAAAGGCATCAGGTTTCTTCTGTCTGGAGCCGGGGAGGAGCCTCTGCCCGTGTGTGTGTGTGTGTGTGTGTGTGTGTGTATTAGCATCACACAGGCTAGCAAAAATACAGCTCTCCGGGCCCCAGGATGGGCTTAAGATTGCAGAGGAGATAAGTTTGTTTTGGTCACATTTTCAGCAGTGGACTGACTGTTTGCCAATACCTGAAGCAAAGCTGAACCCTTTGTTCTTGGCTTCACAGCATTGTACTACTTAGTGTGTACTGAGCTGAATCTAAGCACTAAATGCAGCAATGGGAGAAGTATTCAGCTCCTTTTTCTTAAATAAAAGTAGCAATTCCACACTGTACAAATACATACAAGTTTCAAACCTGTGCATTTAAAATGTTCCTTAAATAAAAGTACAGAATTATCTAATCAGTATTTTTATACAGACAACAGGCTGCTTGTAAGGAAAAATGGGGTCGCTCGTAGTGATGAGGGCAGACTGGCCCCTTTCAGGTTGTTATAACATTATTTATCTTTATACTGAATTATTAAGATGCTACAATGTGCGTAGAAACATTTTATCGGTAGATATATTTTCAATTCGGTAGTGTAATTTGCAACAGTGCTTCTTATTCTGTATGTAAAATCTTAATACATTGTATTACTTGTGTAGTTAATGTACTTAAATACATTCTGCCAATGACAAAATAAAAGTAGAAAAAATATTTAATACACAGAATGAGTATCTATATGAAATATTTTCCTGTAAATGCTTGAAGTAGACTCAGTGCAGATACAGTATTCCTCGGAAGATGTCATGAAACATAGCGCGGTATGTGCTGTAGTATGAAACGTATAGTTGCACTGCAGCACGGGCGGTGTCTCTTAAGTGCATGCATCTGATAGCAGTGTTAGTTGACCCTCTGTGATGGGTGAGTGCTAAAGTGTGTGTTTAAGCATCGTGGGGATGTGGGATTGAGGTCAAGAGAAACACAGAGAGAGATGAAAGAGATGCATGAGGAGAGAGGAGGGATCAGCCTTAAAGTGACCGTAGGCTGAGGTCACTCACTTCAGAGGTTCAACTCCTGAACAATCCATGACTAATCTCTCTTAGCCGACCCTGACAGAGGTCGCGCTTTCTCCCCTCACAGTCGTACATGAAATAGGCCTAGATTAAGGTGCGGTGATGAGCAGGGAGGACGCTGTGAAATGATCCATGAGAGGTAGTTACAGGCAGAGAGCACTCAGAGTGCAGCTGTAAAACTCAAACGTACAGAGGTAGTTATTCAGAGGAGGTGGTGATTTTAACACACTCAGAGTCCACACAAGGAGTTCAGAATAGTTCTGAAATGATTTACAGACACTACTGATCATAGATTACTTAAAGGAATACTTCACCTACAAAATGATCATTTGTATGTCAGTTGGAATGAAAAAGACCTTGCGCTTCTCCTGTGCCTCCACAGTGACCTAAAACCGAAAACAGGCTAAACTCCTGATGAGTGGGAGTAAAGGGGCGCTGCTTTTAACAGCAGCAATACTATATCCAAACATCCGTCTGAAAAACGTCTCAGATCGGTGCAGGAATTAAATGAGTGATAATTTCACCATTCCTAGTTCCCTGGTCTTGAAGTCAATGAAATAAGGTCTGTGGTTAACACAACCTTAAGAGACTTTCACATTTTGTTTTATGACACAAAATACATCAGTAAATACTCCACTTATGAATTTTGAAGCTTTTATGTGTCTAAAAAAGGCAGTTGCTAACAAATGGCTAAATGAGACTACAGAACGTCATCGCGAAACACTTTACAAGCTCTTTGTGGGGGCGACGTCAAGTCATGCATCTATGTTGTAGCTTGTTTGTAGCCTTACGTTAGCTTTTTACTTCTGGAGACTGCATATAAGCTTTTCCAATCCAAAATCCAGTGAAAAAATCCCATTTGTCGCCTTTCTTTGTCGACTAGGGCGACACTAACTTCTACGTGAGCATAGTTCATTTCTATGGTTATGGTGATGCTCTGGATCTCTGGATCAGAGGCAAGAGGAAGTAGTTCACTAAATTATATGCGTCATAGCACTCATATCATTCAAATGCTTTGTTGAGGATCTTTGTATTGAATCTAATTCAGTAAAGTTTTAATGCTTCTATTAATGCACGATGATGCAACCAATATGCAGATAAGCTACTTTCAGATCAATTGCTACATACTTTCACTGGAAAAGCATTGACAACACTGCTGTGTACGGCCTCACAGAGCTGCTGATTAACTGATTGAGATTATTGAGGAAATATGACTAATGCTTGTTCTAGCTTCTAAAATGTGAGGATTTGCTGCTTTTGTCTGGTTCCTATAATTGGAAACTAAATATCCTTGGGCTTCATAATCATAAGTGCTATACTGTAGGCAACTGGACTTGCTTGTGTTCTTCAAGAAACGCAAGCAAGTCCAGTTGTCTACAATATAGCACTATGATTACCATGACCTGGATGACTGAGAATCATAACAGACTTGGGCTTTACACTGTTGGTCAGACAAAAGAAGACATTTGAAGACATCACCGTTCAGCTTGGGGGAATGTGAAAAGAACATTTTTCTGTATTTTCTAACATTTTATAGTCAGACAATCCTACAGAAAATGATTTACAGTTTAATTGATGAACCAATTGTGAGTAGCAGCCTTAGTTCAGAAGTTACCTGCCTTCACCCTCTGCTACTTTACAGGCTGAGCATCATTTGTAACTGACACGTAAGCAGAGACTGAATGAAACCCCTCTCTCCTTAAAGGCTTTGATGTTCCTCTGCCAAAATCCCAGCTTTAGATCAACTCATTAACTATGCTCCTCCATGGAGCCACAGACAGACAGATGTTACCCCGTCCACCATAATGCGCCCTGCGCCTCCTCTCAGGCGGTTGTGTGCGTGTCTGTGTGTGCCTGTAATCTGCCAAAGTGGTTTCTCTATTTAAATGAAATGACAAACAGCTCGGTCGTCATTCATGATGAATAACTCTAATCTCTATCATCTCTGTGTTTCCCTCAGGGACAGACTTGGTCGCCGTCTATCGATGATGAAGGCTCGACGAGAGACGAGTTCTACGACGATGAGGACCTCTACTCAGGCTCTGGCTCTGGCTGTAAGTGTGTGTGTGTTGTTACACACTCACGCCCTGGTTCTTTCAAACTCGACAGCTGCTGGGTTTCAATCTGCTGACCCTGAAGACCCCCCCCTCCTCCTCCTCTGTGTCCTCGAGTTATGGTCGTTCTGGTCGCCAGACTCACATGCAGGGAGGCCACGCACACACTATCACACCATACAAACACGTCATTTGGCTGGCAGGTTCTGATACAGATTTATTGCACTTTTAAACACAGACACACCCTGGAAAACAAACAGCAACCTGGGCTCAATTCCCCCACATCTTATTTGCTCTAATCAGATTACAGTCCACACAGATTAGGCAGTTGTGTGTACCTATCTGCGAGCGTCTGTCTGCGTTTAAGTGAGTTGGTCGTCTGCGTGTGTAGGAATTACCTACTTAACGTAAATCACGTTGGTGTAATTCAGACTGATTTTCTGATCTGGCTGTTGAAGCTTGAGCCCGGCTCTCCTTATTAAGCATGACTCATTGAGGGCTGCCCTCAGTTCAGGCGCTGCGCTAGTGGCGAGCGCGCTCAAAATAAATTACAATTCAGAGGAGGACAGTGCAGCAGAGGCACCCCCTGTGGTTGAAACAGCAGCCCGGCAAATTGCTTTATCTCAAACCGTGATACAGAGCCGTCTGATTCCAAAGGAAAAGCTCATTTACAACAGACGGATGTGCATTTTGTGTCGCCGCTGCGTCAGAATGTGGCATTTTGAGGGGTCCGATAAGTTTAACAGAAGCTGCATTGTTCAAATCCATATTTCGATATCCTCTCCAGCTCCTCTGTCAGCCTTCATGTCTTTGTGCCTGTAAATTCAATTTGTTTCTCTTTCAACCCAGGGAGCCTTGCTGCTATAACAAAATGAAAGGTAGTATAATACTATTATGAGATTTAAGAAGAAAAGGGATCGTTCAGCACCTTCTCTTCTCTTCTCTTCTCTTCTCTTCTCTTCTCTTCTCTTCTCTTCTCTTCTCTTCTCTTTCCAACTACGTCCACATAAAGCCACCTCATTTCGACGGTGCTCTTTTCTTGCACCCAGCCCAGCTTTTTTTGGGTCATCCACATATAAATTCAAACTCTAACATGCCCAAAAACACAAGGAAAAGCAGTTCTTCTTCATCTTCAGTCGGCCAACAACAAAACCGCACATCACAGCCAACATCTGGTGAGGGAAGGGACAGCCTGGTCTCACTTGGTTAAACCTCCGTTCTGCTTTCCATGTTTTAATACAGCGGAACTCACAATTTACTGTTGCTCTCATTTACATATATTTCTGTTTGTGTTGTCAGACAGCTAAACGAGCAGAAAATAGCGATTTGATTACGGCTGTGATTGCTGCACTGAGTCGTCAATAAAATCACTACTTTATGATGCTGAAGTCATTTGACAAAACAAACAGAGTTGGGCTGTGTGATTGGCTGTATTAACATTTAAAATGGGTGATCACGGAGAGGGCGACAGACAGCTGTCCTCTGTAAGGGTAACTTCTGTGAATTTCAACCTGGACCCCTATTTTCCCATGTTTTTCTGTCTAAGTGAGTAATGGGAACAGCAATTTTTGAAATTGGTCGAGTATCGAGCGAGACGAAACGGGCTGCAATGTCATCCCTGTGGGCAACTGAGCGCTGTCAATTTCTGTCCACATAAAGTGCTCGTTTTTGCCACTAACAGGCTCAGATTGTTACTCTGAGGGTCTGAAAATGGGGCGGCCACTAGCTCACCTAGTAGGGTGTGGGCCCCATGTAAGCAGAGTCCCTTTGCTGCATGTCGTTCCCTCTTTCTCTCTCTCACACCTCTCCTGTCCACCTTCACCAGTACTGTCAATAAAAGGCAAACACCTGCCTCAAAAAAGTGTCTGACAACATAAATGAAAGGATCCCTACCAAGATAAACCTTATGTTAAAGAATAAGATCATTTTTGTTAAACCAGAAACAGCCATGAAATCACCACCGCCAAGCACTCCAGGTTCCATGTAAATAAATACTAATTTTAGCGTGTATAGAGGTGGCATATTTTCACATCTAACTGCGTGAATAAAGGGTTTATTTTAACCAAACCAGAGCTGATGATTGTTGTAACAGCAGAAAGACGAACCAAGATGATTTCTGTGAGTTTTATTTTGTTTCTGTTGACTGTGAATGAAGTGTGTGTTAACATTAGAAAATTACCATTTATTTAAATGGAGTCTGGTGGGTTTGACGATAGAGATTTCAGGTCTGTCTCTGGTTACACAAAAAGGATTTTACTCTATCTCTGTAGGGATCCTTTCCATAACGTTGTCTGCAGTGTTGAGGAGTAACTAGTCACATGTAATTAAATTATAAAATAAATGTTATTGTAATCAGTTACAGTTACTGAGAAAAAGTGTGCAATAAAATTACAGTTACAAATCAAAATGTTGGTGATTACAAAGGGGTTACATCCGCACATATACGTACAATACAACGTTTATTCTTTGCGTCTTTTCACCGTGGAGGAATATCTTCTTTTGGCATAACCTATTTCTGGACATTTTTTTTTTACTTTATTGTCCAGTTTTAAAACATTTATATGAAGCAAAATCAAATCTAATAAGTTACATTACTCTGATAAAGTTATTAAAATAGTTACATTTCTTATTAGATTTTTAAAATGGTTACTAGAAATCTGTAGCCCATTACATTTTAAAAATAATCTTACCGGGGTGCCAGTGGCTTAGTGGTAGAGCAGGCGCCCCATGTACATGGCTGTTGCCGCAGCGGCCCGGGTTCGACTCCAGCCTGTGGCCCTTTGCTGCATATCACTCCCTCTCTCTCTCTCTCCCCCTTCACACTTGTCTCTCCTATACATTAAAGGCTAAAAAGCCCCAAAAAATATCTTAAAAAAATAAAATAAAATAATAATCTTCCCAACACAGTCTTAAAAAAATAACCCTAATAATGTCATAGCGATGTCAACAAGGACCTCAAGGGGCATTGAGTTTAATACATGTTGGTGTTTAGGCAAGGAGGCTTTCAAGAAAGTATGATATCAGTAGCATTATGGAAAATGTAGTTTCCATCGTATTTTGGAGCTTAACTAAAGTGGCTAAAAGTCAGGACTCTGCTTAACATATTTTGACCTTTTTTAACTTGTGCATTGTGACTTTGTGGAAGTACAATACCAAACTGTCTGACGACCCCTTTAACTTTACTACCACACAGCCCTCAACCAGGCTCACAGCATTGGTTTCCAAACCCCCCCCCCCTTTCTGCTTTCACACTTAAACCCAAGGCAGGTGTTTTTGGATTTATCCATCATGGAGAGCTATTTTCACAAGCTCCATTTTCAGATAGGAAAAACACAGGCGTAGTGCAGATAGAAATCCAAAACAGGATGACAAGGAAGGGTAGTGGTCTACATGGTGTTTCATGTCCCCATCTCTTAACCATCAAATTTCCTATCTGATGCAAAACATACTCCCAAAAGAGTCTATAAAAGATCACTTTATATTAACAGTGTGACTGTGAAATATATGCATGACATGTGTCCATGGTGTGTACCCTACTCTCTGTTAACAGTCCCACAGTGCAACGCGCCACATTTTATAGATCCAAAAATAAAAAGTCGTGCAACACTGCACCTGTTAGTAACGATGCAAAGTGAAGGAGACTTATGAGTGTCTGAAATCTTGATTTACAACTCGGTAGAGAGTAAATTATTGAGTGTTTGTTATAAAGGGAGAAGCGAATGGGTGTCCGAGGAATTGATTTCAAACATAGTCTCAGTTTCTAATTTACTGTTCGTGAGGGCGGTTGGAGTTTGTGGGCGTGTGTGATGAATGGGGATGTGTGCATTTTTAATTTTTTGGACTCCTCTGCTTGTTGTTTTTTTAATCAAGTCATTTTTTATTCCAAAATCGTCTCTTCTCCTCTGCAGTTCCTGAGGTCAGTGTGAGGCCGACATCGGCGGGCGTGTCCTTCACGACAGAAGAGCCCCTCCTCCTCTCCACCACCCAGGCCACCAGCCCCGCCCCCTCCGCCTCACCTGCAGCCGAGCCCAGCCCCAACCCAGAGGACGCCACCACCACCCCACTGCCCACTGAGGCCGATGGAGAGAGTGGTGCATTCTGGGAAAGAGAGAGGGAGCTTGAGAGGGAGAGGGAGTTGGAGAGGGAGAGGGATAAAGAGCAGGAGCGTCAGAGGGAGCTGGAGAGGGAGAAGGAGAGGGAGAGACAGCTGGAGAGGGAGCGGGAGAGGGAAAGAGAGAGGGAGCGGGTCCGAGAGATGGAGAGAGAGAGGGAGAGGGAGAGAGAGCGCGAGCGAGAGAGGGAACGTGAGAGAGAACGAGAGAAGGAGAGAGAAAGGCAGAGAGAGCGTGAGCTTGAAAGAGAGAGAGAGCTGGAGCGAATCAGGGCCGCCGCCGCGCAGACCACCGCCGCCCCACGATCCCCCGCTGCCATCCCCATGGTGACCACCAACCCAGCAATCAGCTCTGCAGAAAGCGCAGTGCCCTCTGCTGGTTCAGATGACCTGAGCACCACTGAAGAAGAAGAGGACGTCTACCTGTCACCGGAACCCACTGCGTTTTTCCCGGGCTTCGACATGGACACCACCACAGAGGAAGACACGTCCACCACAGCAGAGACCACCCCTGAGCCCACGACAGCTGCACCTACCACCACCACTGCCGCAACCACTGTCAAGACCAGGGTCCCCTTCAAGCCCAGGGTTCCCATGACGACAGCCACTCAGGCGGTGCAGACAGAGAGAACGACCCGCGCACAGCAGCCTACATCAACACAGGTGAGACTGGCAGGGTGGTGTTAATGTAGAGTGTTTATTTCACTAACAAACAAAGGGATGAGGTTCAAGGGATTTGGGATGAGGGTTGAGTGATGTGGCATAACGGGATGTGGGATTTGGGATGAGGGTTTAGGGATGTGGGATGAAGAGATGAGGATTGAGTGATATGGCATGAAGGGATGAGGGCTCAAGGTATTTGGGATGAGGGTTGAGGGATGAGGGTTTAGGGATGTGGGATGAAGGGATAAGGACTGAGGTATTTGGGAGCGAGGAATTTGGGATAAAGGGATGAGGACTGAGGTATTTGGGATGAGGTTGAGGGATGTGGGATGAAGAGATGAGGACTGAAGGATTTTGGAAGAGGGTTAAGGGATGTGGTATGAAGGGATGAGGGGTGTGTGATGAAGGGATGAGGGAAACTGATAAGATGTGCTTAAATACTTATAGTGCAGAAATGGATGAGATTGAGGTGTTGTCTTTGTTCCTGAACTTGGTTATAAAACTTCATACTTGGTGTCAAGGTCTGACCGTATCACCCAAACAACAAGCAGGGAGGAGGTAGTATTTTTCATGGTCATAAATCCCATGAAACACCAAAACCAGCAGCGCATAAATCCACACTATACTTTCGCTATTGATGATTAAAACAATGATTTAAATATCTGACCAAAGAAAAAGTGAATAAGGTCACATATCTGAGCAATGATTTACATACAAGCATTTTTGACACACTGTGTTAATGGACTCATTTAGGTGAGTGTCAAAAACTATGTGAGGTTTGATCAAGCAAAACTTCGAGGCTGAAAAATGAAGCCAATACACAAGTGCCAAAAACTGCAGTTCCTCTAATGGCCACTTGAGGCTGGCTCCAAAAGTGAGTCAATCCCTATAGTCCCCCAACTTTACACCAGAAATATACGTCTTTACGGCCTGGTGCAAGAAATGGTTTTGGCCACAACAGCTTACTTCCCCCTTCATGACAACTATATTGGGGGTTTATTTTTATATGAGTCACACTTCACATTTTATTAAGGCTTAAAGTTCAGCATATTGAAGAGCTTAGCAACTCTGGGTGACAGGTTGGTACCTTCTGTTGACAAGACGCTACCACAGCCAGATCACAGAGTATAGCCATAGCTGTCTTTTTGTCCTAAATTTTGTTCACTGATTGTTGCACACAAATTGACATTAACGGTATATAAATATTTGTGGGTGACATTGTAATATAATAGTAGTGTAGCAGAAAGAGCCAAAACATACAGTACCTAGAAACTACACAGAAAACACAGCAGCAGTCAGCTTGGTCATATTTCACTCATTACAGTAAACATAATAATCCTGCCCTTAAAGTCAGAGTAAAAATAAAGATAATATAAAGTAGATACGAGGAAATGGGATCTTATTTGGAGATAGCTGGGATGGCAATTTTCTCTTTGTGGTCAAAGAGGAGCCCTTGTATCTTTTTACATTTCCTGAAAGAGCCTTTCAATGTATATCGGATTATATCAAGCTGTAAATTACAAATTTGTTTTATCGTTAAGTGTGGGAAGGCTGTGTCGGAGACTTCCATCTCATTAGTATTGGACGCCGAGCCAGGAATGTTACAAAAGCTACAAGATCTGCTTGTAGATCTGCAGTTGCCTCGGCAAAGGCAACTGAGGGATGCCGAAAAGAGCCATCATGGCGTTAGACTCGATAAGTGTCCTTACCTGTGACAAAGTATTGAAAATCACAATCCAGTAGTTACACAGTGATGTAAATCACCAAAACATATGCACATGTTATTCAGGTGTTTGATGACATTTTTCACAAAAAGGTCAATATTTTCATAAATCTTGAAGCTGTCGCTATTTCAGTGTTTTCAGCTCATGAAAGTTAATTGTAACATTTTGGTCGCCTAAAAAGTCTTGAGATGTTCAGCTTGTCCTATATTTGTTTGAATGGTTTTAATGGTTGTTTTGCTAGCAAAATTAGCATAAGCATTATCACACTAAACCATGGACTGTAAATGCACCGTGCTGGCCAAGCTACCAGCTAGAATTAGGATTAGTTTACATCTCATCACGTCTGGCTCCAAAAATCCAAACTGGCAACTGTCTAAAAAGGCAAATTCGAGGCTTCAAGACGGGAGTCCACAAACCAGTGGGTGACGTCACAGTGGCTGCGTCCATTATTTTATACAGTCTTTGGGTTTAATACCCAACCCAACGCTGACAGCTTAATTGTTTACAGACCAGAGTCATTTCTCTGATTGGTGTGCCCCTGTTTATTTGCAGCCGTCCTGCATTAAACCATGATGCATTTAGATTTGTCTGGTTTTCCACATTGTAATTAAGCTGCCAAATTTTATGAAGTGTGTATATGGGTTGGACAATATGCAGCTTTCCATCGATCAGAACATACAGAGGCTCATTGTTTCGAAAGCAAAATGTGCACCATGGAAAGTTCTCTGTTTGTCTCAGTTTGGATAAGTTTGAGTGTAGCAGCTCCATGGAACAAATGTGATTACATCAAATGTAAATTTCCTGTCATTAGTCTCACTTTGCTCTCTCTGTCAAAGGAGGGTAACAACGAGGCAGGAGCTGCAGGGCCGAGTGGAGATTTCGAGATCCGTGATGATCGGCGTAATGACCTTGGTCGAGGTATAATGCCAGTGGATCCTGATCTGATCAGTAACACGGTGGATGGAGGAAGCTCTGCTGCCCAGCTGCCACAGAAGAACATCCTGGAGAGAAAAGAAGTCTTAATAGGTAGGAACATCTGTCAGCAAAGTTTAAGTTCACAATGTTTTTATATGCATTTGTCCTTGTCATCCAGCTCTGTGTCTGTCATTCTGCCTTCCTGTCAAATGAACCACTCGGTAGCCACCTCTTAGATCAACAGATTACATTTCCCCGTTGCCTCCTGTATTCTTTCCCTGCTTTCTGGGAGCTGCTAAGATAAACTGGCATTACCTCGCATTCATGTAGTGCAGATTCATCACGATAAGTGAATGTGCTACTTAGCCCCGTTTGACCCGGTGAGAACAAGCAATCCTCTTCTTGGGTTATCCAAGCCCTCCTTTCTCCCCTCTTTTTCCCATCATTTTCCCTCTGGGTAAATCCAGTCTCTTTTCAAGTGCCCCCCTCTCGTCATCCCAAAGAGCTGTTGTAGAAAGTGAGGGAGCAGCCAACTTGCCTGACCTGACTGGCTCTCTGTCTCTCCTTCAGCTGTTCTGATTGGTGGACTGCTGGCGGTGGTTTTCGCTGATTTCCTGGTCATTGGTAAAGAGCAGGAGGCAACAGACTGTAGACTAGACTGTGTGTGATAGAGCCAAATCACCAACTGCACATGTCAGACTCACACGTTCATGTATAAGCACTGTATTTACTTATATATATGAGATTAGCATGTTAAAGAATACGAGATATGAGATTTCCAGTAATTTGTATTTACCACCTTTGACGTTTCACACTGATTCAGAAGACTTTTTGCCAAAATTATGACAAAGTTTGTTTGTACATAAAGGTGAAAATCTGCAATTGTAGAGTCTGCATTTTAATCAGGCTTAAAATGTCTGTGTCTGACATTCAAAACATTAATAATACAGCAAACGACTATATTTTATGTAAGGATATAGAAGAGTAATGGCGTCCTGAACAGAGAATGACGTCACACATCCTCCTTGTATGTTGTTATCCAAGCTTCTTTGTTCTTTGTTGCAGTAGACGGTCCAGCCGCCTATACATGATAGTGCATGTGAATGCCTGTGTGTGTATCTCTCTGGCTAGCTAATCACAGCTTCTATTTACTACTCGCATATGGCTGTTACTGCTGATAACACTGTCCTGACCAACGGTTTCGGAACGGCGGCGTTGCAGAAGCTTAAGGGCTCATTATACTCAACATTTGAAATGAACAGATCTACTTTCATACGTAAAGGGAGGATAACTGAGCTCTAATGTCCACCCTACAGTTCCCCACCACGTCAGCTCTGTCAGCACTGCTGCATTTGTCAGCACTGTTAGCATTGTTAGCTGCTAGCTGCCAGCTCAGCCACCTCCATATTGAGAGCCGTGTGTAGACAACTCCGGTTCAGACTTCGGATCATAGATATGCTCTGAATGTTGCACACAGCTACTTTTACAAGACTACATTTATACAGCAGGAGGCAGGTTGGTGCAGTGGTCGAACCTGCAAGCTGGTTTGGGCATCTTTGTCTGGAGTTTGCGTGCTCTTCCCATGTTAGAATTGATTTTCTCTGAGCTCTCCAGCTTCCTCTGTCATTCCAAAGACATGCAGGTTAGGTTAAAACTGACCTGGATGGATGGAAGTCTTTACAGCTGTGCTATGAGGCTTTTTTATTATGGATTCAAGGAAAAGTAGTTAATATATTTTTTATTAAAAGTGTAAATGGTGCACTCAAACGGGTGCACTTACTATCTCTCATGTTCAGTATCACTATTGTCTCCAACAGTAAAATTGGGGATGGTAAAAGTGCATATTTATGCACAGTGTAACACAAAAACGGCACGATCTGACACAAAAAAATAAAATAAATTTCATTTTTTATTAGATTTAATTACAAGAAACTGTGTGAAAAGTCAAGAGTGGTGAATGCTTCTGCAGTGACAGTGCATGGTGAAAAGTTGCATTATTCTAAATGCCCCAGCCTGTGTGCTCTGATATTGGCAGTAATGGAAGAAACAAAGTAAACACCTCCCACACAATGAAAGAAAACAAAGTGTTCCTCGAGCATTTTGGAAAATAAACAGTTTGTTCTCCGTTTTGGCATCAATACCAATTAGTTTAACGAGGGAAAGTTCCCATTTGATAACCATGCATTAATCTATCACACGCAGCAAGAGTTCATTAGGGCTGTGTGCAGGAGAAGGTGGTGAAATGCAGCTGCTGCGGATTGGTTACACCAGCCCCATCGGGCTAAACTACTGTGTTGCACTGCAGGGCTGCAATTTAGCACAAAGCTGTTGGCAACACAGAACGTATGTTGGCACATTCAGGCTCATCAGTCTTCACTTAGCAGCTAGGTGATAGTGATGCTGTGGTAGCTTTGCTCTGCTTTCAGACTATGTGTGTTTGATGCAGCGCGTGTTTGTAGTGATGTAGTCTGCTGCAGGATGGCTCTGATGGCATTTCACTGTTTGTTCATGTGCATTTTTGAGTGTTTCAGGATCTGTTATGTTCTGCAATGTTTTTAAGATATCCACCCTCTCTTTGTGTCTTCCCCCAGCGGTGATAGTGGGAGGAGTCGTGGGCGCCTTGTTTGCCGCCTTCCTGGTGATGTTGCTGGTGTACAGGATGAAGAAGAAGGACGAGGGCAGCTACACACTGGAGGAACCCAAACAGGCAACTGTCACCTACCAGAAACCAGACAAGCAGGAGGAGTTTTACGCATAACACCTGTATGCCAGAGAGACGCACCTCATACCAAGGGAGAGAGAAAGAGCGAGAGAGAGAAGAGAGAAAGATACTCTAAGCCCCCGTCCTCTTCCTCCTCCTCCTCCTCTTCTTCTTCATCGCCTCCCCCTCATCTGCTCGCCTCTCCTCATCCCTCTCTCCTCTCGTCTCCGAAACACTTGAGAGCGCCTCTCTCTCTGCGGACTTGGAACTTTCTTTTCAATGAAAACCAGAAAAAAGAGGACAAAAAAAGAAAAAAAAATCCAAATATATTCTGAAAAAATAACACATACACACCAGATGTTTTTAAAGTAAATGTTGTTATTAATATTCTACAGATTCTCTTGTTCTGTATGTAATGATATGATTATTTTGTAAGAAAAAAAAACAAAACAAAACACAAGCTCTTAACCTGTGTTTTCCAGCACAAAGAAAGAGTTCCTCCTCTGTTTTTATGGAGCAAACGAAAAAGGCTAAAAAGAAAGAGGAGAGGGGCGAGGCGAGCTAAACGAGACACAAAAGAAAATGGGCTCGACTCTCGCCCCTCACCCCCCAAAAAACACACAGAGCGTCTGGTTGGCTGCACAGAGCCCAGGGTCAAAGGTGAGAGGAAAGGTCTCTTTTGTGCCTTCCGTCCCTCTGGTGCTCAAAGACGCATACGCACATCCATACAGCCACATGAACACACGCTTACAACACATGCACATGCACACACTTGTATCTGCTGGAAGGTGGCTCTGACCTCTCTCTCTGTGCTCGGCCAACCAGAAAACAGCGCTCAACCCTCGGTGTGTTTCCCAATGTTGAGGAGCCGCTGTGGAAACATTGGGCTGGTCGCACAGAGGCTCGCTCACGCGGCCAATCTGCTCCTCTAAGCTGTACAAAGACTAGTTACAGATAGTAATAATAACCAATAATATATCAATGTTTCAGGCTGGATGGTGAATAATAATAATAATACCGTAATAATAATAATAATAATAATAATAAAACTTAAACAGGAGGATGTGTATTTAGCAGTTTAAAAAAAAAAGTTTATATGTAAATATCAGCGTATCCTTTCTGGCATCACTAACCATCTGCATGATCATGAAGAGTTTTTATTCATCACATCCGTCATCACTTTAGATGAGCTGTGCTCTCGTCAGCCACATGCACACACACTTACACACACTTACACGCACACACATACACACGCAAGTGCAGACATGTAACTTGCTGCGCATTGAAATACACCACACAGACTTTAAGTATACTGTAAATCATATCATTCAAACACATATCAAACCCATCATCATCATCCTCATCGTCACTGTGATAGTCATCACTTGTGATACGAGCAAGAGCGGGTGGTTTCAATATGTTATTGATTAGTTATCGATCAGTTGCTGGTTGGTTTAGAGTTTGGTCTGTTTGTGTAAAAGCACAACTACGTGTCCAGTCATCGCGTCATTCTGATACCCCCCCTTACCCACACACACCTTTTGCATGCCTCACTTTCTTTTTCGTCCATCATTGGCTCTCTGTTTGGGGATGGGAGGGGCCTCTGGGAAGAGTGAGGGGCTTTAATGACAAGTGTGAATCCGGGCAGGAAGTTGATCCCACATGCGCTAATTCAGTCAAGATCAGAACTTTTGTTGTTAAAGCTTTGATTATGAGCAGAAGCAGACTGAATTAGTGTTTGTGCGCTCAACTTTAAGCTGCTGTTGGGCTCTTTTTGGGGAGGGGACGATGGGAGGAAAGGGGTTCGGTTTGGGAAGGGGAATGTGAGGAGACAGGAGGGCTGTGCTTCTATCTAAGAGATTGTAACAATAACCACACCAGTGCGACTGGGCTAGTAGCTTCTATTATACTCAGTACTGTAGAACAAAAATGCATGGGAGTCAAAACTATACTAGTCTGGGTGTGTGTGGATGCCTGTGTGTGTGTTTTTGTGTGTTTGAAAGAGAAGAGGGGTGAGTTAAAGTTGGAATGTACTGTGGTCGAGTGTGTGTTTACCTACTCCAGCAGTTCTCACGCTCTTCCACAGACAGGTAACACACTTCTTCCACTCCTGCGTGTGTATGTCGCCTGCCCCCTCGCCAGTGTGAGAATACGTGTGTGTCTACACCTCATCAAAACGCGCCACCTGTGTGTATGTGTGTGTATGGTTGGGTGCTTCACCTTGGTATTTCACAGCAGACTCTTGTGTACACTGACTAGCCTGTCGACGTGTGTATGTGTGTGTGTGTGTGTGTGTGTGCGTGCGCGTCTGCGTGTGTTTCGTCTGTTCACTGCTGAATGAGGGGCAGCTGGTCCCTCACAGTGGCTTTCACACACACTGACTGTGTCTTTTCACTGTCTGACTGTCTGCCTGTCTGTCTCTCTGCCGCAGGACAGACGGACAGACAACACGCCACTTTCTCACAGGCAGGAATGATCTTAACACGTACTGTCTTTTTTAAAGTGACTGTCAAAGTGTAAACGTGTGTTTGTACCCATCTAAGCCTGCGTAGCCAAATAAGACGCGTGTGTGTGTGACAGAGGGTTAATTTGTACGTGTGTGAGTGTAGGTGTGCATGTGTGTGTGTTAGTTTGTGTCCAGTATGTGTGTGTGTGTGGGTGAGAAGCCCAACGGAGGCTACACTACTCTATGTTTGCTGTTCCCATTCCTGTTTTTATACATTTGCATTTTTTTAAGGCTGAGTTTCTGTCATTGGCTGAGTGAGCGAGAGGAGGCGGATCCTCCACGCCACCGCCCTGTCACTAATCTGCCACTCTGTTCCAAATAAAAAACCTGGTTGGGTAAATCTGTCCTTTCTTGTCTTTATTTTTTTAAGTGGAACAATCAAGACATCAGAGCCAGGCTAGCTGTTTCCCACTGTTTCCAGTCTTTATGCTAAGCTAAGCTAACTGGCTGATGGCCTTAGCTGGTATCAATCTTCATATCTCATTCTCAGCATTTTGCAAAATGTAGAACGATTCATAGAGACAGGTCACCCCAAATCAAAAATACATAGTGTTGTTAATAAATCTAGATTGTTTGGAGATTGTTGGAGGTATTGGTTGTAGAGATGTCTGCCTTCTCTTGAATACAAAAGAACTAGATGGTACTCGGCTTGTGGTGCTCAAAAGGTAAAAAAAAAAGTTACCACTCAGGTGAGGAGGACACCATTACTGTTTACATCTCACGAGCACAAGCCTCTCGTCCATACATAGATGTATGTGTCCTTTAGCATCATGTAGGCTCCAAATAAACTGAAATAATATTGATTTTGACACAAGGCTAAAAGATTAGACGACAATAGCAGCCCCACTTAAGTTGATATTGTACTTTAAGTGGTGTTAATTCCTTAACAAATGCGGCACCAATTGAATTACTAAAACCAATTAACACCCAGTGAACCGGGGAATTTTGGGAGTCTCTAGGGGTCAAAGTAATTCACCTTTGTTCATTAATATAATTATGAGTCGTCCAGATTGTACCCCACCTCCTGAATGTTAGCGCGACAGGTTTCAGCCCCTTGCGACCCTGCTAAATGATAGGCAGGTATAGATAATGGGTGAATGGTTTGAAGGACTTTACATAATACATTACATAATAAACCACAGTAATATTCAGTTTTAGGAAGCTCTTTTTAGTCAGACGGTGGACAAAAAGCTTTCCTGTAAAATAAAAATGGAACGATGTCAAAGAGCAACAGAGAATTTGGAGAGGCATTAAATTAAATCAAAATATTGTAAGTATCCCCTGTTGGCATTTTTACTGTTACCAAATGTACCTGCTATGTAGAGCAGTTTTCAGAAGAGCTGCTTATGTGCTTTACCTTGGAATTTTCAGCACAACTCGATCAGACTTTACTTGTGTGATATTTAAATTAAATACCATTGATTTGACCTTATGAGTAGTGCTCTCTCCAGCCTTGAATTAAAGCTGCAGTTTGTACAATGTCTGCATAGATTAACATGATTTTATTGATGTAAATAAACACATTTCTCACTAAACCTCTAGTGGTATGTAGCCATGCATATAGGTTGAATTTTAATTGCCCGATTCTGTCTCTGATATTTCTGCTTCTATTATAATACATTTAGTGATGCCCACAGCAATCATGACATTTTAAAAACAGCAACATCTCTTTCTAGGTATACCGATCAGCCACAACACTAAAACCACTGGCAGGTGAAGTAAATAACATCTCGTTACAATCACATTGTTCTGCTGGGAAACCTTTGGTCCTGGCGTTCATGTGGATGCCGCTTGACATGCAGCCGCCACCCAAACACCGTTGCAGACAAACTACACATCCTCATGGCAACAGCATTAACTGATGGCAGTGCCCCTCCCCAGTACAACAGTGTGCCCTGCAACACCTTTAAAATTGCTCAGGAACAGCCAAATGCGACAAAGAACTCATGGATTCCCCAAATTCCCCAGATCCCAGTCTGATCAAGCATCCATGGGACATGCCAGTACCCCACCTGACAACCTACAGGTCTCAAAGGATCTGCCACAGCAATACTACCACCATAGGATACTCCAAGAGGTCCTCTGTCCATGCCTTGACAGGTCAAAGCCATGTCCTATCTAAGGAGGCCCACCATAATTCGGGGGTACCTCTGGAGTGGCAGCACGTCCCACAAATCCTCAATCAGATTGGGATCTGGGGAATTTGGAAGCCAGGTCGATGCCTTGAGCTCTTTGTCACGTTCCTCGAGCAGTTTTTGTGGTGTGGCACAGCACAATGTCCTGCTGGGGGGGGGCTCTGCCAACAGGGACTAGCATTGCCATCAGGGGGGTGTACTTGGTCTGCAACAGAGTTTGAGTGGGTGGAGTGCGTCAAGTGGCATCCATATGAATGCCAGGACCCAAGGTTTCCCAGCAGAACATTGCATTGTGACAAGATGATCAATGTTATTCACTTCACCTGCCAGTGGTTTTAATGTTTTGGCTGATCAGTGTATGTTGTCCAGGTTACTTTTGCTGATCCAGAGAAAAGGCTTTCAGCATTACAACTCCTCTTGGTAAAAGTACTGTTGCTCTAGTGAAAACCGTTGTCACTGTGGTTCTTGGATTAAACCGAAGTAACCAGGACATTGTTGCTGGAAAGACACACTACTGTTGAATTATTTAAATGTGATTTTTCAATGCTGTGAGTGTTACAAATGAAATTCCATTTGTTTCCACATCGCTTGGGTGGAGGAATACAACTCAGAGACGACAGATATCTCAAAACCTGAGCAAAAAAACAAAACAGTTTACATCGCTAGATACCACTGTGTGGGTGAAAAACTGTGTTTTGTAATTTGGGTGAACTGACCATTTCGATCCTGAGTCTTGGCTTTGACTCAACTCCCCCCTGGTGCTGGATTGAACTCAAACTTGAGGCCCAGGATTTGTTCATCACTCAGGACTCAGCAGTGAAGCACTTGAAAGGGAGGATAAAAAAGTGCACGGCTGCTCAGAATGAGAATATATTTTAGTAACATACATTCAAGAATTCACATGCAGACACGAAGTCTCACTCTGGTGTTATCACACACCAGCATTATCTAGGGCTTCATACCATTTGTGACCCAGTAACATTACACGCAACCCTGTATGCCTGACAGAGCTGCTGTACTTCTATATGTGATCACAGCTTCTTAGCAGCCTATTTACACTTGCTGAACCCAGTAGACCCTCATGGGAGGAATAGCTGGAGATGTTATTATTCTTCAGTCATTATATAAAAATGTACTTATGAACTGATTAGATAAACTGTCTGTGGGGATTTGTGAGCACATAGGAAAGGAAAAATATTCTTACTGGGGCTTTAGTTTATGTCATTTGCATCAAACCAGATAAAACCAAGGTCACCTGATGTGGAGGAGTACTGGGTAATCTGCAGATGGCCTTTCCCTGGATCCATAGAAGACAACAAGCTGTCCTGGCCTTGAGTAGTGGGCTGCTGATATGGAAATGTGCCTCTCACAAAGGATGAGGGGGTGTTATGTGAGCCTTTTTCTGTTTGGGAGGGGTAGAACAGAGGAGTACAAGCTGAATAGTAGAGCTGGGGTAGACAGAAGAAGGCTGAAGCGCCTGTGGTCCAGTCAGTACCCCATCTGGTGGGTAACAGTGGAACAACTGACACAAGAAAACCAGATTGTAACTTGACATTTTCAAAACTGACATGCAAACTGTATAGGCCTGAATAATAGATATCAAGCTGTCATATGTCTATTTTATTTTCACAGAATTTTAGTTTGCCTGATGTTGGCCTTTGCGAAATAAGAAGCTCAAAGGATCAGCATTACGTTTCCTCAAGCATGGATGGATTACTGAACAGGTCTTCCGGGCAGAAGCCCAGGGGGCCAAAGTGTCAGAGGCCCCCTGGCCTTCACCTGCAAAAATTAACACCAACACAGGAAGAGACTCAGCAAGCAGGAGGAGACACAGAACGACCACAAGGAGACACAAAATGGCCTCAATTAGGCACAAAATGACGAATATAAGCCAAAAATTACCTCAAGGTGACACAAAAGATACACAAAACAACCAAAAATAGACACAAAATTGCCACAAATTAACACAAAACTACTATAAACAGACACTAAACAATATCAAGGATACTTAAAATGAATACAAAGAGAGGCAAAACAACCAAAAAGACACAAACTTAACTCCAACAGATACTAAATTGCCTCAGAGAGACAAAAAATACCATAATAAGGCACAAAATGACTTCATAAAGACACAAAATGACCAATATAAGCCAAAAATTACCTCACGGTGACACAACATGACTTAAAAGATACATAGAACAACCAAAAAAGACACAAAATTGTCACAATATTAACACAAAACTATTATGAAGAGACACTAAACAACCTCAAGGATGCTTAAATTGAATACAAAGAGAGACAAAACAACCAAAAAAGACACAAAATTAACTCCAAGAGATACAAAATGACTTCAAACTGGCACAAAATGACCTCAACAAAAACACAAAATTACTACAGAGGGACACAAAATGACCCAAAAGGCCAAAAAATACCACACAGTGACACAAAATGACCTCAAAGATACACAAAACAACCAAAAAATGACACCAAATTGCCTCAAAAGGGCTCAAAATTGCCACAAATGAACACAAAACGACTATAAAGAGACACAAAACAACGTGAAAGATACTCAAAATGAAGACAGACAGACAAAACCAAAAACGACGCAAAATTAATTCAAAGAGACACAAAATCGCCTTAGAGAGAAGAAAAAATACCTTATAAAGACACTAAATGACCTCAAGAGTCATAAAATGACTATAAAGGGACACAGCAACACAAAAAGATGCACAAAGGGGGGATGTAAGTAGACTGGATAAAATATCTTGGTGTTTAACAGTTGAGTCAACCTGCAGTGAAACACATTATAACGTGTTTAAGGACTCAGGTTTCATAATAATCTAGTCTTTTATTAACCTACAGTGTAATTTTATGGTGATATGATTTGCAGAGGTATGATTATTTTTAATTATAGGCTTCATGGATTTTTATTCCCAATCTCACAAAAAAACCTGTGATAATGATAGCCAATTTCACTGAGATATTACACGAGTCCCAATAGAGTTAATATCATTATATTATACATTATAGTGATACAGCAGAAGGTATAAAGAAATCATTAAGAAGCACTTCTGAGCACCATATGTTCTGTGAATACTGACAGTGGAAGTACTCAGATCCTTTAAGTAAGAGTAACAGAACACAAATGGTCTCTGATTGGCTGGCTGTGTTTCACCCTTCACGCGATAGTTGTCCGTCACACCGCTGAA